ATGCATAAAGACCTCCTGGTTACCTAAAGCAACATAAAATGCATCTGTACATGTGTACTGTCTTCTGGACTTTAATGTAGTATGTCTGCTTCTTTGTGTTGAAAATGTTTCAACCGAGGGAAAAACAGAGTTGTATGAATACACGGGTTGATGTTAAGTTCACTCAAACGATCCCTCTGAACAGCAGAAACAAATCAGAGACTTTCCTTTATAACAAGCATTTGCACACAAGCCCAGCTGCATAATCTCATTTATCATTTATGTGTGTGTGAGTGTCTTTTTTCTGCGTATATCAAAGACAAGAGCTTGCTTGTTGTCTCTATCTGCAGTTTTTGGCTGAGGTGAAACAGCAGTAAGGGTGTCCTCGTCTTCTGGCATCCATTGATTCACCTTAAAATACAACAGCAACCTTGAGGCAGAGATTTAATTAATTTGCTTTTCTTCACTAAGTGAAGCTCCAATAGGAAATGGACCTCATTAACTGTTGTAAGACAAATCAGCCCCGCCCCTCATCATGCCTCATCATGCAAAACTCATGACCTCACTATTTTTGAATCTAAATCTCTTATCAGCTTTAAAAGTTTCAAACATTTGCTGCAGTTTAGTCATAATAAGGTATTTTGCCATAAAGATGAGCTTTCAAGAATGGGTGTGTACGTGGCTTTTGGGGCTTTTGGGGTCAGCCCCAAGTGGACACTTGAGGAAATGCAGTTTTTAGCATACACTTTGCTAATTGATATTTTGACACCACTGGTCTTGTGGTTGTTTGAAACTTTCAAACACAGACTGTGATTGGCTGATAAACTTAACCCCAAACCCAAATGTATGAGTAACTGGATAGTAAACAGTTTTAATCACGGAAAAGTTGATATATAATGGTAGCAGTTACTCTGGGTTTATTCGAGGGAGTCTCTACAGAGGTGCCGTAGCTTTACTTGTGATAAGGTTAGCACAGGGCGGTTATCTGTCTCACAGCTACAAGCAAATAAAAGAATGAATTAAAAGGACTTGATAATGGGGTGTTAGTCGAATTTGCAGAAAAGTTGCACTGACTAGAAATAAAGTTAGAGCGCACAGAATTATAAGGGAAAAATCTCCTGTAAATGACGCAACTGGGACATTGTGATTTCTTTTTTTTGCATGTAGGACAGTCCAGATAGGAATTAGTGGAGAGTAAAAAGAGATATTTCCACTGCAGCGTGTCAAAATCCAAGTTGATTTTAGTGGGTGAAAAAGTTCTCGGGTTTCTCCCCTTAAAAAAGAAACTTTGTGTTCAGAGGGAACAAACTGTCTGTGATAGTGAGAGTACTTTCTGTTTTCAGTCGAGCTTGTGTGCACTCCAGGAACCTGGTGATTTAATTCCAGGAACTGTCAGAAGAGAAAGAGTATATGAAGTAGTGATGAAATAGAAAACATATTCAACACTATGCTTAGCTCACATGGCATCTTTATGCGCGGACTGTTTGTTCAGGGTCTGAATCGGAATAAGATTGCATTTTTTCAGACCTCAGTGGGTTTTTGGTTAGTATGCCTCTGTGTCTGTGAGGGCTCAGAAAAAAAAAAAAAAGGGGGACGTGTTTTGGGATTCAGATGGTGGTCTGTTCTCCCCAAGAGGAGCCGGACTCTGGCACGATTTTTAGCTCTTGACTGCTGCAACCTGCATGCTCTCATTGTCTACAAACCGTGCTCCCTCACACATGTATGCAGAGCAGGAGTCAAACTCCTCCTAGTGAAATAGAGGGACATCTGCATGTACAAGATAAGGTGAGACAATAAGTGCAGTGGCGAGAGAGGGCATCTTAGAGCTAATGGCATGTGATGCCCAGCTGCTGGCTCAAATCTGTTGCAGCCATCTGTTTTGCCTGGCTAGTTTAAAACCTTTTCACTTCACCTGAAAAGAAGCTGTGAACTGCTTACGTTTGGGTTTGCAGAGCTTGAAGGGAGGTCTCCTGGGATTCTGCAGTTCACAGGGTCACACAGCCTTCAGTACCACTCACGGTGACTGAAGAGGATTTGTAGAGCCAGCTGCAGCGAAAATGTTGTGAAGCGTCTGTCAGAGCTGGATCAATGATTTAAAGGGGTTTAATTTGGCTTTGATAAATGCTGTTTTGCGTTTTGGTGACGTCATGTGATAGTCATAGTTTACATCACAGGCTTCTCTTATGAGTTGGAGAATAAATAGTCAAGGGCTGTAATCAACCAAATAAATTATTGGACGACTAAAACACTGAAATTTTTCGACAAAAAAAATCGACTAATCCGGGGGGTCCAAAACCTTCTGCGGTGAGGGGCGGGCTAAAAATATACTGATGTCAGCACGGGAAGGCAATTTAGCACGAAAGGCAAGTTGAAACGTACAAAATAAAAATAAATGTTCAGCAAACTATCTGATGTTGATTAACGTGGACGCTCTTCAATCTTCCTGTCTCCAGCCGACAAGAAGTAGTGTTGATGTCATTTCAAAATAAAAGCCTCTCCAAGCTACTTCCATTCAAATCAATTACTTTTGATCGACAAGAAGTAGTGTTGATCTCATTTCAAAATAAAAGCCTCTGTAAGCTACCTACATTCAAATCAATGGCTTAGGATCTCCAAGGGGTTGGGATAATCTAAAATGGTGAAAACTGGGGGTCTCTGAAAACACCCCCATTTTCATTTGGTACATTCCTCCTTATGAAATTAGCCATAGACTAATTTGATGCAGAAAAAAAAAATGATGTTAAAGCAAGCTTGCAAGATCCTGTCCTGCAATCCAGGCAACGACAACGAAGCTGGAGAATACATCCTTATGTTGCTAATTTTTTGTACTTCAACCCTCTGGAGTCTAGGCTATAATTGTCCATTTTTAACTACTTTTGATTTTACCTTTATATTTCTCCTTTAAAACTGTTTACCTTACCTTCCTTGGTATCCTTTTTTTCAGCACAACTTCACATATGTGTATTTACACAGAGGACCTAGATTCACAGACAAAACACAAAAAATAAACAAAAAAATATTTTGCTACACTTTCTGGTGGTTCAACTCAAACCGCCTGACCACACTTTTTCCAGTGAGTCTGATTTTCAGCTACATCATAACAAAGTTTATTTTAGGACGAAACGCTAATGAGAGTGTTTGAAAAATCCATAAGAAAGTCGCCAAGTTCCCAACACTGCCTCTGTCCTTCCCTTCAATCCACCATCTTTCATGTTTCTCCTTGCACACGTCACTTCTCTTATCCTTTTAAGTCCACAAACGACCTCTGTGTCTTTGGTCACATTAAAGACGAAAGCTCTCCATCTACTGTGCATGGAAAAAAACAAAGCACTGAGCACTATAGGCCGTGTAACAAGCAGCTGTATATTCCTTCTGCAGTTCAGGCTTCCTGGATTGCCACTTACAGAGGCATTGACGCATACATAATCACCACTAATTTCTTCAGAGCTGTTGACATTCACTACTTTCATCTAACTTTTCTTGTAAGTCACTGCATGGTGTTAAAAAATAATTCCCCTTAGGCGGAAAATTCTTTAACAGGCACTCAGTTACAAGGCTCGGGGTTTTAAAAGATGCTTCTTGAACATCTGTGCAGTGCGCAGGCAATTTGAGATAAGACTCGCACCGGGGAAGTTAATTAGCAATATGGATCAGGCCTAATGAATACATGAAGTGTATCTGGAGATGCAGAGAGTACTGGATGCCTCTATTAAATACAACTTTTATGTGGAGCCCAATCTTAAATCTTACACGTATGCACTTTTACTTTATAATTACACCCATTTCCCGGATCTCATTTGTATCGTACAAATCATCCCAGGCTGTGAGCTTCCATGCTGCAGCCTCGCAGACTGTACTACCACGGTTCACTGAAAATGCACACTGATTTCTTTTATTTATTATTTCTTTTTTTCCGTGCGATGGGAAGTAATTTGCTGTAATGCGTGATCGGGGCGTTTTTGAAAGAGCCATTTCATCTCGCTGTGCTGGTCCCTTTCTCTGCAGGGGAGCCCGGCTGTTCCTGTTCCTCAATCAACACCAACCGGTGAAGCTGAAAGATTCTGCTGCTGCTGCTGACACTCAAAGAGACTTCACACCCCTTGTCTTTCTCTTCCTCTCCCCTCCTTCTCACCGCCACTTTTTCCTGTAATGTCTTTCTCTTGAATGCTCCGTGTTTCGCGCCGGCTCTTTTTTGGCTTTGCTCATGTTCCTCAAAAAAATAAAAATAAAAAATAAAAAAAGAATCAGAAAGAAAAGCTAACTTTTACGCACAGATGTCATAACTTAAAAGAGAAAATTATGAAAAACTACAACAAATGGAAAGAAAAGGAGCAAGCAAATGCCACACTTTGCCTCTAATTGCTTTCATGAGAGTAATTCATTCCAGCAGGTGTTTGCAGCCTCAGAGTTACATTCAAAACAAGAACAATGGTGTCAGCTCTTGGTATAATTATGGTTTCAGTGGGAGAATAAGCGATCAGTGTAACCACCCTCTCTCAGGCCACATTTATTTTAATAAGAGGTTTGGTGCGGCACCATTTCAAGCATTTAGCTCAACAGCTGTGGCCTTAACATGATGATTTTAGTCACCGTAGCTGTGAAGAAAGAAAAATAATAAGTATTATGGCTGGCCAGATGGACTCATAGCAGGTGTTGGTCTGTTGATCCATAAACATAAAAGACATGGAGCCAAATGTGTTGGTCCGGATCCATGCAAAAGAACGGGAAAGTTTTAATGAGTTACAACTTAATAGTGAGTTCCTTCAGGGCAACATGTTTTAGGAGCTACAGCGCAACACAACAGCAAGTTGAGCAACATCGTGATATCAACCGTAGATAAAGATGGACGACTCGCTTCAATCCAACCTATAGACGGGTCTCTGTGCACTGTCATCGCAGGCAGAAAGCGGGACATTTCTTATTTGTTTACTAGTGGAGTCGACGGAGAAAGAAAATGACTAGGAGCTGTTGAGTAAAATCCATGGATATTTCATGTTTTTCTGATGCAATGAAAGACGGAGCGATTTTTCAATTAAATTACATTTAATTGCAGTTGCGTCAGGGAGAACTTGCAAACAATATGGCATCTTCATTGATATCAGTTCACTCCAAAGCAGGCTTTTGACCCATGGTTGCACACACACCTAGTATTGTACACAGGAAACCTGTCTATTAAAGCCAAAATACAACTTTTCCACTCCCCACCCTGATAGGCTGAAATGTTGCTCTGGTGACATCAATAGCAGACAGAATCTCTTGCATAAGAGCAGTGGTGGATCCAGACTGGGGCACGTTTATTGGGGTGTAATAATCCCATAATCCCATAGTTATCCCATACCTGTGAGGATAATATCTATGTCTATATCTATGTTCTTGTTAATACCTTTTTTACTTTGAAAGGTTACCACAAAGACTGACATTAAAGCTCCCGTGAGGAACTCTGTGTCAATTTTGGTGCCCTGTGTGAGGTATTTACTTATCTTGTCCTCTAGTTTATTCTTACAAAAGATATCGTCATGCTGGCTTTTGACAATCAAATGTGAATATTCTACATGTGATGAGGCGAATAGCCAACAATTATTTAGAATAACAGGGTGGCCGATGGTGACCTCATGACCACCAACTGTATCAGGGGTCCCTTCACTGCCACTGACCAGATTCCAGTGCTAATTCTGCCATCTTTTTTAAGATTACGGCTCAGTCTTTAGACAAAAAACATTCAGCCATGTTTAATATTTTATAACAGAAGTTGAGATTCAGTCGATGTAAACTCAGAACATTTTTGTTTAGTTAATAAACTGTCATTGCATTTGAATCATCGTCTTTCAGCAATTCACTTTTTGACACTTTAACTTGCATATCTTGGTTGAATAGTTTCCCATAGACTCCCCTGCCTGATCTGCTAAGGTAAGGAGAGTTCAGTATGCACAGATGAAAAAATGCAAATATGGAGGACTGACCCTGACTCCAAGCCAAGAGAAAAAAATCTCCTTCTGCAGCCACAACGTTAATATTTAATGGCCGACTTCAAATAAAAATGAAGCAAACACAGGTGTGTGTTCATAATAAAAAGGGCTGTGTTGCACTTTTAAAACTGTCCTTGTATACAGACATGCTGGATAGACTACTTCACGGTGTTCTTCACATTTGATGGTTTAGAGTTGATCAAACGAGGATAAATCAAAGCTTTGGCACAAAGAGATGAGCGGCAAAAGCTAAACACAACATCAAATGTTGAATATTAAAGTGGTGCCACCCAGTAGCCATGGCTGTGTCACTGACAAACATCGTGGAAAAGAAACCTACGATAAAAACGGGAAAGATGGATGACTGCAGTAAGAATTTGTACCCATAGCACACTTGTTGCAGATAAGTGACCGAGTTAATGCAGCACCCCTCAATGTTATAACTCAGCCTGTCTCAGGAATGCAGTTTGACAGATTACGCCCTCAGTTGGAGAAAATGTGGATTTTTTAAATGTCTGCTGGTCCACTGCCAATATTTTAGTCTCATCATGGTCTTATTCATAAAAACAAAACATACGTTTGGTAGCTGCAGGGTGCCTTCGTTTCAAGTTTTGCATGTTAACAGATCAGAGTTTCCATACTGTTAACAAAACGCAGGAGACTTGGCGATAAAGAAACGTTTTATTTGCCTTGCAGTAAGAACATTTATATCCTGGGTATGAACTATAAAGCGTGGTTAGTATAAGTTTGTCTGTCGCTGGTAATGTGCCTCTCACTTTATGCCTCTCTCTCTCGCTAAAGTTGCCTCTTGGGTCTGTGTGTAAAGTTCAGTGCCTGATTTTTTAATGTAAATAAGATTTAGTTTTAAGATCAACTCCCCTGATACCTATATAAGACCTGGAAGCATCCCACAGTCAAAAAATACAGAGGTTTAGAAAGCACAGTTTTGAAAGCTACAAGTACATAATTTTCTTAATCCAGTAACTCCAGGTTTCATGTATGTCTTTCCTTTAATCGCTAAAACTTCCTGCTTGTCTGAAACATCTGATACTCCTTGTTACATGTCCTCACACCTAAAACGTAAGTATCAATTTTACTCCATTCAACGCCAGCGCCCTGATCCTGGAAACAAAGGGGCAGCTGGACTCACGACACCACAAAATCAGATGAGAACTCACAGTATCAGAGAGGAATAAAGACACACAAGGACATCATACTTACCACGGCTCACAAGGTATTTGTCCACTTACGAAGAAAAGACCGTCATCGCCATGCCCTTTCGAAGTTCACAATGTTTTGTGTGCATGATAACTTACAAGGTGCTCACCCACATATGACTGATATACAGCACAAAAGATGAACAATACTCAGACATCTATTCATGGGTGGAAAATGACAGTCGTGTACTTCGCCAAACAATCGCTGCTGTGGGTTTAAACGGGTTTAAGGTGACTCAGTATCGTGGTCTGAACAGTGGATTTGACCTCTCTCCTTGTTCGACTGTCTTGGGAGTTTTTAAGTTTCATATTTAACGTTTGATTTTACGTGAATGTCAAATCTGCGTAAATATATTCACCTAATACTTTATCTACTGAAACCTTACCGATTCTGTGACCAGGCTGGTGGCGGCAGCTGTGCAGACACTTTGTACCTGCTCTGATGAAGGCCTCAAGTGACTGAAAAGTGACTGTGCAGCCCTGAGAAATAAGGACGTTTAATAGTATGACCCTTTGAGTATCTGAGATCCTCTGAAAAAGTTTACTCTTGGATCTTGGACCGGTAGAAATTTTGCGATACTGGAGAGATTGAGCAGATGTCTGCCACATCTCTCTGAGGCAGCATGTAGTTGTCTGCGCTCACTAACAGAAAAGCCAGAGCGCATCCATTTGGGTGCGTTTCCATATATTCACCAGCGTGTCATGCGGAGGTTGTTCGCTCCGTTTGATTGGTTAGGTTTGGGTGCGCTCTCAATAAGCACCAGGTTGTCCAGCAGCAGACTGCTTGGCCTAGTTTTGACGAAGAAGAAACAGCTTCACTGGTGGTGGTCATGGCGGACGCGGAGATTAGTGGCAGTGTCGAGCAAACAGAGGCAGCCCGACCCACCCAACATGAGGAAGAAGAGGACAAAACTATGCAAAGAGTGTGTGTAGCCGTCGTTGCTGGAGGAGGAAACACCAACCACCTCTTCAACCACCTAAAGACGAAACACGCAAAGCTCTATTACGAGAGATAAAAGATGCGTGACGCACTGCTGCACCAAAAACTAACGCTGCAGCAGCTCCTCTCATATGAAAGAGCTTGGCAGAGTCTTTTGCCAAAGGTATGATTAAAAAATCGCCAGACTGGTCGGGCAATTTGTTTGCATTTATTTACAAATCCAAGTTTCAAAATAAAAGGAAAATGAAAAAATGTGATAGTACGGTTATTTTTAAACCAGTAATTGAATTTACAGAGGGGAAAACATACGATATCTACTGTTACAGTGATATGAAATGACTTATACTGTGATATGATCATATTTGATTTACTGTTCACTTGTTGCCTTCGTGTGTCTACTATAGTTAAATGCAATACATGATTGCTGAGTTTTTCTATGTAAGGTTTTATGTTTATAAATATGTTCTATTTCTTGTGCCGTTACCAAGGTCATACATGATGTTCTATTTTGAAACAAACCGAATTGTGTTTTTTCCATGTTTTACTTCATAATGAGGTTGATCTCCCTTCCTGCTTGACGCATGTCTCGAGCAGGAAGAGGCTTCCGGGACACCGGCGCTCCCCGTGGAAACATGAGCATCAACTCAAACGCTCAAACGGGCACGGATCAGCTCCTTAAACTCTGCAGTGACTCCTCTTTTCTGCTAATCTGGTGCACACAACACAGCGGGAGCAGCCTTTCTCAGTAGAGCTATCAATCCTGGCGTTAAATCCCCTATCTACAGCGAAAACTACCTGATTAAAAATAAAACTTTCAGGGACAGAAACACGGTAACACAAACCAGTTAGCGATAATTCTTACTACGACACAGACGGATGATTTTAAGTGAGTTACGCTTTATGAAATGTGATGTTTTGCGATTGTCAGTTTTCTTCCTCTCCTCTCGTCTGCACTGCGCTGCACGTTTTGAGGTCATCTAAAATGCTGCCGTCACAGTTGTGAAAAAAGGTACTTATCCCGTCTGCTTTTCTCAACCTCCCAATGAATGCCAAATGTGACTTGAAGGTGCTCCCTCTTTACATATAAAGTAGTACATGTTGTTTGCTCTGTGCTGTTGCAAGTCTTTCATCCTTTTCTAGCTTGCAGCAGAGACTAAAGAGACCTTTTTAGAAATAAAAAGTCCTAAATGTTGTCCTTTTTAGCTTCCACTGTAAACCTGACTTTATTTCATCCTGGATCCTTCTCTTTCTCGGCCCTCTTCAAAGCTCCCAGCGTAGTGTTTCCCCCTGTAAGCCTGTTAAAGCTCTTTATTATTCTAGAGGGGGATTTTAAGGTGAAGGGTTTTCATCTTCATTTGTTCCATAATGTGAGCTTTGTTAACCTCTGAGCAAAAAATCTGAATATTGGATGAGGGGGCTAAGCTAAACTTTTGACAGAATATTGGATTTTACAGCGAAGCAGAAAGTAAAGGATGGCACTGACTCGACAAAAGAGGTGAAAAAGCAGAAATGACATTGCAGTCAGAGATAACCTTCATCAAACAGGGGCAGACTTTGAACTGAATCCAGCTCCTCTTTTTTGCCTCATGAAAAAGTGTTTTATCATCCTTATGAAGACATCGAGTGACATGTCGTCTAGCAATGATTCTGTTCAATAGTAAATCAAAAATATGGAGATAAATAAATCGTCACTCGGAGGATTTCACCTCCTTTCTTGTGCTGAGACACTGTAAGGAACCGATGTGATTGAGATGTGCGGTGCCTCGCAGCTTTGCTCACTCAAAGCGTCTCTTTTCAAAGAGGAGGAGAGAGAGTGACATTCAGAACAGCTATAAAGTAGACATTTAATGCTTGACTGATTGTACCGATCGAGGCAATGACATCAAATAATGTGATGTGCCATTCACTGGCTGGTTTCAATCATACAAAAGGTCATAGGTTTGCTACTCTGACAAGTAGGCTTTACTTCTCAAATGATAGGTTTAAGCAGGGGGAGTGGTACCTCTGTGCTCTGCTCTGGACCACCTTTCTGAATGACTGATGAAGGAACGAGATCCCTGGATAAACTTCTCACTATCAAACACTTCTGACATTTTGAGAAATATTAACCCTCTTTACTAAGCAAGAGTTAAGACGAGAATCTCAATAATACTCATAACATACTTACAGATAGAACAAAGTTTAGCATGAAGGCGGACAAAAGGGCTAAACCTCGACTGGTCAAATCCTTAATTATCATTTTTTTAAAATTGTTCTTGTTTAAAGTTTGTATGATGAACAAAGTGAAAAAGCATCTAGCTCAATCTTTTAAGCAAGCTAGCTAAACAAGCTAAGCTAATGCCCCGTCCATACAGAAATGGTGTATCCGGTGACTGTAAACAATAATTTTTAAAAAGCGCATAAATCCGCAAACGCATTTCCTTGGCAGTGTTACAGCGCCACTTATTGGCTCAGCATATTCACTGCATTGATTTTAGTCATTCTAAGTGGTTTCGTGTTTACGCAGATATTTCCTAGAACGATTTCCTCTTTACAGAACAAAACAACAATATATCTTTGACCACACTACAAAAAAATACAATCATGATTGAATATACTATGATATGTTACAATATCCTACAATGCTTATCATTTGATACCATAATGCTATAGGGCTGGGCGATATGGCCTCACTTCAATATCACGATATATTGATCAGTTCACCTCGATAACGATAAATGGACGATAACTACTCCACAAGCTGCTCAACCCCTCCCACATTAACTTCATCTACTTCAGCCGCTACAACTTTTGAACTGTCCTCCATCTCCTCACCTGTCTTTCCCTCTTTGTTACGGACTGGATGGGGTGGAGTGACATCTCTGACATAGAAGCATCTTAACGGGACATGAGACCAGAGCCTACCTACACACATCCAAAACTAACTTTTATTTATCTATTTATTCGACACAGAATATATCGTTTTGTGCAAAATGTTGCCTGTTATCGTCGTAAATTTTGGTATCTGTAAATGTTTGGTTTATTGCCCAGCCCTACACTAGGACACTATATACTATGATATGCCAACCTCTGATGTGTTATGATATTCGTCATATTTCGATAAGTTACAATATGTTTAATAATGTTATTAAACATATTGTATCAATTGCATCAATGTTAGTACGCCAGAATTTGCATAATAGTAGTCCAAAGGCAGGTACTGACATGTTAGTTTTCAATGTTGAGTTACTATTGTTTTAACATGATTATTATTCATTCATGCTTGGCCTCAATTAAAAGATTTCCTCCTCTTGCAGCATACGTAAGTTACAAAAGTTTGACCTTGGAACTTGGAGTCCAATCGTTCAAGATCTTGCAGTTTGTGTGCAAATGTGTTGAGGAGAGTTCACTTTCAGATTTGTAAACATCCACATCTGGGAGCTGCCCACTACAATCAGCGCTCCTCTAACATTTGCTGCTAAGCTGTTCCATTGTCGCAGTTTTGGGGTTTCTACCCACATGAAGGAGGACTCGGCAGCTGTCGGCTGAGGGAGCGGTGGACCCTTTTCGTTTATTTCCTACAACCTGGCAACCTTTCAGCCGTAAGCCCACTCCCCAACCCTCAGGCTTCCCTTTTCGACTTCATATTTTACACTCACACTTCAGTCGACACTCCTCTGTGTAGAGGAGAGCAGCCGCTTTGCCGCCACAACCTACTGTGACCGCTCCACTGAAGCACTTCAGGGTTAATTGCCATTTTCAAGGACATCTTGACAAAGACTGCTCTTTTAGCCCGTAGCCTTTGACGTGATTACTGATAATAGCGTAGAAATAAGCACAGCCACCGAACATATCTGCATAGAGAAAATGTGTGGTAGTTCGAGAAGAAAACAAAGACAGAAAGAAGGAAAATTAGAGCGGGATACAAAAAAGTCTTGATAACAAAATTACAAAAATGTAATTTCCTCCAATATTACCAATTATGTGATTTCTTTTTTTCTCTTAAAAAAGCACACAAGGAGGTCTCTGTGGGGTCACTCTCTTAAAAACTTACTTTATTCTCTACAGACATTGAGAAAAAAGGCGTAATAAGAGTCTAAATAACAGTAGTGGGCGATGTGATGAGTTCATGTGCAGTTTTTCTTTACAAAAGCCTGCCCACACACAGAAACCTCAGTGACACGGCAGGCTAACGCTGTCCGTCCAACCATCCTTCTTTATATCCCACCATCACACAGGCACACATACATGCCCTGATCTCCAATAATGAGTAACAGCCCATTCAGCACAATGATATGAAGCAGTAACATGTCTGGAAATGACAAAGACCACCATCATAATGCTCCATCATTCATGTCTCATTAAGGGCTGCAGGGACACCATCATGTCCACTCGTTTCTGTCATTTACTCTGAAGGATGTGCGGCTGATTTTCCACATCATTGTACATAAAGCAAAGGCCCGGTGTATGAAGAGATATGGTGCTGCGAACTACATACTGCACCACAATGACCTGAGGTAATGCATGCAGCCATGCAGCTATGAAATCAGCTTCTCAAGATGTCATCTGGATGTGAAAGTAGTTTTCTATGCTTTATGAAATACAGGTCCAAAATAAGATTCGATTATTTAAAGCTCATTCGTCCTATCCTTGTGAAAGCAGTGATGATTGATGACAAAATTCCCCTCCCTCTTTTACAGTGAGATCGATCAATCATGTTGAATACTACTGTGAAAAATAAAGGTTGTGTCTTCAGCCTGCCTACCCTTCTGCAGCAGTTACAGGAGTTAAAAATGTCCCTGAAGAAAATGTTCATCTTATCTTAAACGGTCTCATTTACTCTTTTACGTCATAAAAATGCATCACTGCTCATTTCAGCCTGTTTCATATCCGATCAAAAACTCCTTACAGCAGCTTTAACTTCATTATTTTCACATATTATTTTCTGATAGTCTGGCTGCAGACCTGATTTGAAGCCTTTAAGAATATACAGGGAGTACTTAGGTCATAAGGTTGATTCAAAGTCTTCAAATTAAAAGGTAATAAACCGGGAGTAGTTTTTTCTTTTTTTTTTTTTTCTCATGTTGAAAGTTGATTCAAAGCCTTTCAAAATAAAAGCTAATATACTGGGAGTAAGGTTTTTATTTATGTCGGAAATTGACTCAAAGCCTTTCAAAATAAAAGCTTATATACCAGGTAGTTTTTTTTTCTTTTTTTACATTAGAAGTTTATTGAAAGCCTTTCAAAATAAAAGCTTATATATCGGAAGGAGATTTATTTATGTATTTTTTTTTTTTTTTTTGGCAGGGGGTTGATTCAAAGCCTTTCGAAATAAAAGCTATTATACTAGGATTTTTTAATTTTTTTATTTTTTATAATTTTCAAATTAAAAGCTAATATAGCGGGAGGAGTTTATTTTTATTCTATTTTTTCTCATGTTGGAAATTTATTTAAAGTCTTTTAAAATAAAAGCTTATATACCAGGATTTTTTTTTTTTAATGTCTGAAGTTGATTTAAAGCCTTTTAAAATCAAAAGCGATTACACGGGGAGGTATGTATTTTTTGTCTCGTGTGAAGATATTTTATTTCTTGGTTGATTTTTTGTGTATTTATGTGTACCAAAGACAAAATACATCACAGGATGACCACTTCAAACAAACTGGAGCGCATGAGAAAAAGTGTCACCTCAGGTCCTCTCAGTGGAGGTGGTTCCTGACAGTAGAGGTCTACAGCCAGACTGCTCTTTATTATTAAAATTAAACTCTCTAGATGACTCAATTAGTAAGTCAAAAGTATCATGCACCTTCTATTAGATGACGAGTCAAGCGTTTGTCTTGGTGGAACATTTAAAAAAAGTTCTGTTAGCAGTACGCTGTTTATCATTTTAACTCCTTACCTTGATTGCAGGCTTTGAATGACTGTAGTAGCTCATATAAAGGCATTAGTATGAAAATAAGTCTATTTTAAAATGAGTTAGGCTTCATACAGGTGCTTTTAGAAAAGGGAACATCTCTTTGATAAATAGTCATAATTAAAAATGTGCTTTAGCACTCAGGAAATCAGGCAGGAGGTTCTGTCTACAACCCAGCAGATGAAAAAGCGCAGCAGCTTGTTTTGTCGCCTTTAATGGGAAAAATTCTCAATCGCCATTATGCTACTCTCTAAAGCGTCCCTCACCAAAGCCCTGTAAAACCATTCCCTGCACCGTACAACTCATTAAAAATACACAAGTACAAAAACATTACAAGTAACAATTTAGCCGTCGCAGCTCCATCTCACTTTCAAACACGCAAATGTTTTTCTACCTCTCGCAGACTATAAGGTTTTTTCTTTTACTGCTGTAAACAGATTTGTTTAAACATCTGTCTCGCTTTTCAGTGCGACAACACAATAAGATTCAGTGTCATAATGAGAGGAAAAATCTATTAAACCATCACCGCTTCTTTATAATGATGCACTCAACAACAAATTATGTTTAGTTTCTTTTTTTGTTGCTGTGCTTGCAGCACTCGCAGCTGAAAATGGGAAGACATTGGGGTAACTTGAGGACGATGTCACTTCCTCTTTACCGACCAAGAAAAGACAAAGATGGAGGTCTACAAAGATGAAAAAAAGGCAGATTTTTCCAAGTTAAAGCTCCTGCTTATGTCAGTCAGTGAGACAGAGTGCAGAGTGTACAACAAAGATGGAGGTCTGTAAAGAGAAAAAAAAGGCAAATTATCCAAGTTAAAGCTCCTGCTTATGCTACAACCTGATTCTTATGCGCTGTTATTATGTGGTCTTTGTAAAACTCCCTTAAATAAAGCAAATACAACTTCTTTCTGGTCACTTCTAAGGGAAGCAGAAATGCCACAGGACAACAGAGACACTAAGAAATGAGGTTAAGGAAACTGTAGATGCAGTCAGTGGACACAGGCCCTTACTGATTCATCTTTCACTATAGTGCAGGATGCCTCACAGAGACAGTTTGTGCATGTGTCTCTATGCGGTACAAAGTTGTGCCAACATCATGACATTGTTCCAAAATTAGGGTGGTCATATTGCGAGTTCCCAAAAAGAGGACATAATTTTGAGGGGGCGGAGTCACGGAGTTGAGCGTAGTTCATTTTGAGAGTTTTTTGGGTCAGATCGAGTGTTTTTTACATGCTTCTAACTCAGTAAGTCCACACGACACAAATTTAAAACTTACATACAAAAAAACAGACATAAGAAGGATTTTATAAACTAAAAACACTCCACGGGCTCCCTCCTGGCTGAGCTGAGCGACAATGATCCCCCTTTTGGAGTCAAACTTACTATTACAATCTCAGGAAGAAAAGAAGTTAATTTTCATTCTTAAAACTGTGAATGCTTCTTGGACTAATCCTAAAGCTCAGAGCCAAGAAACTGATTCATTCACGCGAATCAAAACACAAAATTTCAAAGTCTTAATTTGTTGCTTCGGTTGCTAAATGCCAACTTCAGCCCACAGAACAGCTGACTTTTCAGTTTCTCAGGTATGACCCCTGGTGCATACTGCCGTTTAAAACTTGCCTCACTCAGATTTTTCTTTGTTTCCCCCATAAAAAAAAAAAAAAAACTTTTATTCTGACAGTGAAAAATAAACTCAGAGTGAACAGCGGTCTGGGAAGGGAGGAGGATTTGCTAAAAGATGCAATTGATCTCTTTATTCCTGAAATAATTTGTATGGCTTGGCAACCGCAGCATCATCCCTTATCAACGTCTGCCAAAAGCCCGGCGGTGGCCTCCCGGGTGCGGAAAAGCTCTGAGAAATAATGCCTCTCATCACCAGCAAGAATGGCAGGAGAGAAGAAATGAGAAGAAAGGCCAGAGAGAGGTGGGGCAGGAGGGGAAAAAAAGCAGCAGGAGAGTCGGATGATGAGCAGCTGAAGAAACAGAAAGATTTTGAGATTCACAAAGGCGACTTATCACTCGGAAGCAGGCAGACAAAAGACGTCAAATCTGAACAGAGTAAACATTTACCGCAGGGTGAGGTGCATGCAGGTCTGCAGAAATGAATATCAAAACTGTTTCCGATTGTGTATTAAGTATCGGAGGTGTTTACAGTCCACTCTCATCCCATCGTTCTCCTGCAGTACGCTGCGACCCCGAGCTCAGATATCTTTAAACAGCTTCTTCTTCTGATACATTTTGCTCTCCTGTAATGCATTTTTTATGTCCTCTGTGGATCAAAAGCACATTCTATTATACGATAACACTTTCTGTCTTTATCTCAACAAGCAATTTGCTTTTACCAACACAGCTGGTCATTTTTCAGTTTCTGTGTGGTTGCAGAAAAACAATAATAATAATAAAAAAAGCCCCTTTTCAGTCGGTTAAGATTTATCCTTCTACTTTGATGGAATCTAGTATTTAAGTTTAGAGCATTTTGATTAAAAGAAGTGAACAGATTTCTTGATTGTGTGTTAATTCATGCAAAACACGATAAACGCAGATGTTTTCAGGCTGTATATATTCTGTTTCTCTCCTTTTAATACATGCTAATATCACATGCATCATGTTTATAAGTACTTGCATGAGAGCGAGTGAATAGTACAAGGGAAGAGAGAAGATGGAGCATTTTTTTGGAGGAAGATGAAATAGTACATGTCCCCTCTGTGCAGTACATCACAGGCAGACGGGTTTGCTTCAACTCCAAACGCTAACATCCCCCGTATCAGCATTCGAGAGGTGAAGAGTTGTGTGTAAATCAGCTTATCTTTGAAGTCTATTCTCCTCATTCACAGTGGTTTAACTGCCGAGAGTCTGCCTGTCTCTCCTAAGGTAGGAGCCGGCGGTGGAAGACAATCGTTTTTTTCTTTTCACTGCAGGTGTGAGAAATGCAACATCACCGTCTTTGCAAGAAGTGCGCTGGCGTTTTAACCTATAAGGTCTGCATATTAGCTTTTAGATGTCATCCTATGTCATATACCGTGTCGCCGTGAAGTACTACATAAATATACTTGAGTTGAAGTAAAGTTACCTTACCAGAAAATGACTAGTCAATGTGAAAGTCTCCCATGAGAATTCTACTCGAGTCCAAGAATTAAAGGGATATTCTGGCGTAAAATTAATTTAGGGTCAAACACACCGTAACACAAAGTAAGACACCCCGTCGAGAGATGAATGTCGCTGACCACTTGCTTCTCTTATTACTTCTCTAATTATTAGTATTAAAAGCTAAAGTAAAAAGTCACACGCACACACAGACACCACCAATCAGAAGAAACAATAGTGCATCCTCCTACAGTCAAGAGGGAACTTAGGACAGAAGTTAGGCATGTCGAGAACCATCAAAACAGCCACTGGACATTTAGCTGAGTGTAAGCAACTGCACAGCCTACAAGCAGCTGGGGACATGAGCAAGCACAATGCAAATCAACAATAGGCAAAAAGTTTTTTCCCCTACCCGCTGTCATAGTAACAAAGTAAAAATAGTAGCAGCGAAGACGCTTTTGTGAAATGTAGTGGAGTAAAAGTATACTTTTATTTTAGGAATGTAGCCAAGTAGAAGTAAAAGTTGCAGGCACAAAAAAACTCCAGTAAAGTACAGATACTTCAAAATTATACTCAAGTACTGTATTTAAGTATTGCTACTTACTTATGATACAATATTCCTAGTAATTGGCTATTATCCCTCACTTTAGTAAAGATAATAGCAGACACACAGCTGGAAACTGACAGCAATAAGACAGTTATTAGAGCTTTTTTTGCCTCCCTACCTCAAAATAATGAGCCAAAGACGTTCAGCTTATGAAAGTGATCCATTACCTACCAGAGATAATACGCCACAGTGAGGCCGTTTGTATCTTGAGCACTAATGCCAAAGGAAACTCGTATGAAAACAGCCTTTTCATCGGATTAATCTTCTTCAATTTGCATTTTTTCAGTAAGAAACTGGAGATTTTCCACGAGAAAGAACATGTTGAAGATTAAAACAAAGACAACAACCACTTTAACAGAATGAAGAAGCAAATGTGAAATAGTCTGAAAATTAAAAACAAATCAATTTTTTAATTTTTTTTTTTTGCTGCACAATGTTGAAAAAAAAACTAATATTGTTCCTCATTGCGGGATACAGAGATTTTGGGTTAGGACTCGGTGAATAATCAAATTCTTATTTCAATTAGGATTACAGTCCTCGTGGAAAAGAAAATCTGATTATCAAGAGTGAATGATGGCGTTGCTGCCTAATGTGTTGCATTTGTTCATCCCTGGAAAGTGAATGGAGCTCTGTCTGTTCCCCTGAAACAGCTTTAACTCTAACGCTGAGCTGCAGCAGTGCAAACCATCATGGAACCAATATGAGAACATGGAGCAGAAGACTGAGGACAACTATCTTTGACCCAGTTTACATGCGATAAACAAGAATCAAATCATTGTTCTCTGCACCAGTTGGCTGCAAAATGCCCTCTTTCAGCTTGTTACTATCAGGTTGTCCAGGTATCACAACAACTTGCAAAACATGTCTGATGGGATGTGACTTTTCAGCTCTGTGCTGTTTGTTAGTGAAGTTTCGCATATTTTATTATCTTTCTTGATCTGATATGGTTTTATTTACTGCCTGGCTTCCTTGCAACGTTAAAGCGCCTTTAAATGCGCCGTCATTCACCCGAATTACGCGGGTTTCCATCTCGTGGCCTCAGAGTGCCGGTGCGCGCTCGTTCCCGCGCTGCCAAGCTGCGTAAAACTGTTTAATTGTCTCCCTGCGTTACAATCAACCGTTTCCCCTTTTACCTGGACTCGTTTCTCCCCGCTCTAAGCGTTTCAGGGTGCAAACTCAACAAGTACACGCCACAAACACACACACATCCGCTTACCTGCTGCCAAACAGGGGCACTTCCTGGTCCCTCAGTAAATAGCGCAAGGTAGCGCTTTTGGGGGGTCATGTGACCACCGGACCCCACCATTATCTTTAATTTGTGCTATTCTAGTCTGATTTAATGTGTTGTCAATGATTAAAGTCTAAGATGTATGGAGGGCTATTAGTGCCCTTTTTATCCATGTTGAAATGTCTGATTTATTGATGAATTTTCTGTTGTATTTTGCTTATTGTGCCTTAAACCCCTAAAATTGGTTTATGGATTTGCCCAGGGGAGGGGCTAAGGGGTTACAAGTGAACAAGTGTAAGTCCTTACGAAAAGCTGCTGTAAATACGTCAATTATTTGCCTATTTTTGTGTGTTGTTTCCTGCACTGTAAATATTTTTGCCACAATTTGCTGTTTTGGTGAAGTTGGTGTCCTAAACAAACTTGTGACACAATGCACAGGGTTCCTACGCAAGTATGGAAAATATGAAAAAGTATGGAAGTAATCTGATCAATTTCCAGGTCTTAAGAAGTATGGGAAATGAAAAATAAAGAATGGAAAAAAGCAGGTTTCCAGCCTATTACCACGGTAAAAAAAATACTGTTCTCTAAAATAAAAAAGTAGGTATTTCCAATCATAATTCTAAAAAATAGGGTTTGGAAAAGTATGGAAATGCCAACTGTGAAGGAACCCTTGAACGCATCCATGTTGTTCAACCAGCGGCTCAGAGCCTGAGGTGCTCCGATTAATCCTGGACTGTTTTTAGGTCGTATAATTGACTTTGCACATGCTCAGATGTCAATCAATCAATCAATCAATCAAATTTTATTTATACAGTGCCAAATCACAACTTCGTTATCCCACGCGCCTTCCAAAAATAGAGCAGGTCTCGGCCGTGTTCATTGTTTGATGAATTACCAAGACCCAACCTTCAGATGTGACTTTTATGAATGGGCACAATCGCGATGTTCAAACTGATCAAGAGACCGACACAGGAAACATACAAACAGCAACAAAATTGTCTCCATTATCAGCAATAAAAGCCATAAAAAAAGGTCATTTTTCCTTTCATCATTATTTTTAGGGACACTTTGGCTTTTTCTGTGAGACATCCGTCAAGAGATCTCAACTAAAAGCGAGAGTATGACAGAGTAAATAATCACATCCGGAAGTTTCTGGTGTGTCACCAATGTGCTTCAGTGTATAACTCATCATGAGGGCCCTCCTAAACACACTGACCTTTGTGTATTCCTCTTAAATTGACTTTGTTGAAAGGGCAGCGCTCCTCGGCTAAATGTCACCACTGGATTGTTCCTCTTGGCTGTTCCTTATTGAGCATGAGCGCTCCTTCCCTCCCTGCTAACTCGTCCATGCGCTTTGACAAGACATCGACAGTGTCTCAGAGTTCCCCGGAGTCTGGTTCAGAGCAGCTGTGAGATATAAAAGTACTAAAACACAATTTCTGTCAAACATAACTCACAATGTCATGAATACAGAGTGTCCGCATGTCAGCTTTGGTTTTGACTCTGAAAAGACAAACCGGGACGGACATTACTATTAAAACAAGGATTTAAATTTTCAGAAGACTGCCACATGTCTGCGCGGAGCTGTGATTGAATTCTTCATAAATCTTTCACACCTTTCCCCAGGTGGTGACGTGTGAGATGGACTGATGCAAATACAGTGTGACACTGATTGAAAGAAAAGGGGCAGGAGAGGATTAGAGGCTAAAAAAAAAAAGAAACTAGAGGGAAAGAAAAACTGAGATTATTTTAAAAAAAGGTATGATGCCTATAGCTCATGGGAAAATGGTGAGTACAGCGTATCGATCTTTGTGCACTTTCAAAATAAAAGAAATTCTAATCATTTGGATTCTTTTTCTGCTGAGAAAACTTTTTTTAAGATTGGAGATTGCTCTTTCGGTTTCTGTCTTATCCTTTCCCAAAGTACACAAAATCTGAAAATAATATGCGATCACTTCATCAAAAGTTTTGCGCTCGGGGATTTCTGTGTGCAGCTTTAAATGAAGTGCTGAGTGCTTTGTGTTTCACTGACGCAGCTCATATACGAAACGATGTGGGAGAAAACTTGAGTGGTTTATCGACGTGACTGGAGTGTAATGTGTGAAGTTTTTGCCTTAATTTGGACGTCTGAAATAAAGAATGTACGTTCTGAATTGTAGTAACAACAGAAGTGTTTACAGATATTAAAAACGGTCAAACTGAACCAAGATTTGCTGCTGCAGGAGATGTACCAGACAGCAGATTAGCCAGCAGTGTTAGCCTCTGTGGCCTGTTGTATTTTTTACTTCCAATTGGACTGCAAGAAACTGCAAAATGTTCAGTTTGGACACTCAGGACTCTGGTGAAACTCGTCTTTCTCTGGATGTTAGTCTGTGACTGATGTGCTTGAACCCTGGGTGTGCATGCTGCATGATTGTAAAGTTTGGTTTTTGCAGGTTTAGATGTTTTACTTTGTCGTTCTGTTAACTGCAAACAAAGTATGCTATACCTTTATCTCATCTAAAGGATCTGATATACAACAGAGTATTAAGGCCACATTAAGAGCAAAAAAAATTGAAGACTTCAAGATTAAAGTTCCCAATTTACGAGAATAAAGTCATTACTGGTGAGAGTAAAGACATAATAATAAAATTATTACTTACGAGAATAAAGTCCTAATAAAATCATTATGATACTTATGATAATGTGGTACTAATGTGCCAATAAATTAAGTTTATCCTTGTTTGAGAAACCTATATTAAAGTACATTTTCACAAATGCTCCATGGCTCTCATATCAACAACTATCATCTTAAACAACAGGTTAGAATAGAGGAATTTTATTGTGACTTTATTCTCGTAAGTAATTACTTTATTCGATATTTGAATCTCAAAACTTCACCTTTACTCACGTAATTTTGATTTCTTTAATTTCGACTTTAATCTTAAAATTTCAACTTGAATCTCGAAATGGAAATTAAAAAATCTCCCTCCTGTTATTAGTTTTGTCTCTTCTTGTAGTAGACTTTTTGCTGTTAACCTTTGTTTGGTTTTGCGATAAAAAAATGGGTTAATAAAGACAATTAGACTGTACACAAAGGTACTGACTGTCAAAATTAAACGTAGTTAGGGCTGGGCAATAAACCTAAAATGTATCGATACTGAAATTCACCACAATAACCAACGTCATTTTGCCCATGTCAATATACTCAGTGTCAAAAAAATAAATAAAAGTTAGTTTTGGATGTGTGTAGATAGGCTATGGTCTCATGTCCTTTAAGACGTCCTAGACATGACTCCACCCCATCCAGTCTGTAACAAAGAGGGAAAGACAGGTGAGGAGATGGAGGAAAAAAAGGGGTTGAGCAGCTTGTGGAGTAGTTATCGTCCATTTATCGATATATCGTGATATTGATTTGAGGCCATATTGACCAGCCCTAGACTCCAATATGAGGTCCTGCAAGCTGGACAATGTACCCTCCTGCCCCCTTGGAGTCGAGATACTGGTGGTAGAGGGAAGCACGATGTGATTAGTTGTGAACTTCAGAGGACCTGAACTTAAGAGGACATTGAAGTGAATGACCCGCAATGACAAACTGAGGGACAGAGAGGAAATAGATTTAAGCAGGAGTATGACTGGCTGACAGGGGGCGCAGCAAAGTCTGATTGGGTAACTTCTAAATGAAGTGACTTTTGAGATATGCCAGGCTTTAGTGTGATAGCTTCCTGTAAAGCCTTTAGGGTTGGATGTGAGTCCAGGAAGAAGGATCCATATCTGTTCATCTTTATCACAACCAGTCTTTGTCAATTTGTCGTGTTATCGATCGGATGGGAAGTTGAGGCTCTGCAGCGTCCGAGCTGAGGGGAGAGAAGAGCAGAAGTGGGACCTCTGGAGTTTGTCACAGCAGATAGGTCAGGACTGCACTGTTGACTCTCTCTGTGTGCGTGTGCGTGATGTGAAAAGCTTAACACGTTTGCGGTCAGCTTCCTGATATGAGGAGAGGAGGAACATGACCTCTGACCCGATACTGATGTGTCTGCCCTGTCCTTCACTCGCTCGGCGTTCACACAAAAACCTCAAAGTAGTAAACGTCTTTCCACGAAAATGTTCAGCTCTTCAAGGAGTGTTTCAAACCGCGTCTGTCTGAAGATTTTTACCCGAGTCGGTTAAACGCCGCAGAAAGAGAACATAACTAAAATGACAGATGTTGTCATGTTGTATTTCCCTTTTGTGCCTGCACACCAAAGCCGTTTTCAGAACATTGTTTTTCTGCATTCCTTGAAACATATGCCTTGTTTTTCTCATAACCTAGAGTTGTTGTCTTTGTTCGTATTTCCCCCACACACCCGTTTATGTGTATGTATTTACAGGCACTCGCAGTGAGACGATGTTTGCCATTATTAAATATTAAAAGTGGGAGTGTTTGCTCTGTCTGATAGAGTAGCTTCTGCTAATGGCTCTGTGTGTGTGTAAGAGAGAGAGAGATGAGGCACTTTATAGCAAAGGGCTGCTTCTCAACTTCTCTACAGAGGGAAACACAGCTCTCTCAGTATTTCAGCGAGGGTGGCTTACCCCTGAATTATCTCTGTCTTTGCCTCGCTGTGTAGGCTGTCTGGGCTCCTCAGCCATCTGTCTTTCTGCTCAGGTCTCTCTTAAGATTCACAGCCTGCACCGAGGCATCACTGGGAGGGTTTACTGAGTGAATTCCCAGAGGTTTTGGAGGAGGTATGATTGAATATGAATTTCGGTTTGCACTAGGTTATCTGTATGCCCAGCGGTGTGTTTTCTCTGTGCCCAAACTCAGCGAAGGACAAAACAGACAAAAGCAATTTTTCACCAGATGAGCTGCTCCGGCCAGCTTATGCGCTAATCCCTCGACATAATGGCTTACTATACATTGAAAGAAATCTCTACTTTTATACTTCAATTTATTTAGTATTAATAAAAGCTCAAGTGAGTCCTTTTTCTATGGAAGATGTTGACAGATTCACTGAAAATCTTTTGTTCAGCCAACCAATTCTCCAGAAACTCCTGGAGTCTGTCAGCACTAGGGCTGGGCGATATGGCCTCAAATCAATATCACGATATACTGAGCAGTTAACCTCAATAACGATAAATAGACAATAACTACTCCATAAGCGGCTCACCCCCTCCCACATTAACTTTGTCTACTTCAGCCGCTCCAACTTTTGAACCGTCCTCCATCTCCTCACCTGTCTTTCCCTCTTTGTTACTAACTGGATGGGGTGGAGTCACATCTCTGACGTAGGACAACGTCTTAAAGGGTCATGAGACCATAGCCTACCTACACACATCCAAAACCAACTTTTATTTATTTTTTATTTTTTTACGCCAAATATCTTGAAATGGGCAAAATGACGTTGGTTATTGTCGTAAATTTCGGTATCTGTGAATTTACGGTTTATTGCCTAGCTCTAGTTGCTACCATCTCCACTCTCTGCTGCACAGAGCTACACTGTGCACTCTCATTCTGACAGTTAAATAATCTCAATTCAAAATATTTTAGACACCAAATATCTTGAAATGGGATAAATGATGTTGGTTATTGTTGTAATTATTAGTATTGGCAAATTTTCCATTTATTGCCCAGCCCTACTACTTGCCAAAGCCGATTACATTTTTTTACACTTGCCAATTAAACTTTTATTTACTTGTAATTGAGTCTCTTTTAATGAACTATGAATGTTTTAGTTCTTTCAAAATAAATGCTAAATTTCATTGACTTTGTGTGTCAGTTTTTAATCAAATAAATAAAAAACGGAGACATAGAGACAAATAAAAAACATTCATTCTTTTTCTTGTTTGTGCTCTTTTCTTTGTCTCCCTGACTTTCTATATGTAGATTTTCAGTTTATCGCCCAGCCCCTAGTCGACTCACCAAAGCTGATGACATTTTTTTACGCTTGCAAACTAATTTTTTATTCCTCTCTTTTAACTGAAATATTAATGTTTCAGTTCTTTCAAAATAAATGCCAAATTTCATTAACTTTGTGTGTCAGTTTTGAGTCAAATAAATAAAAACGGACACATAAAGACAAATTAAAAACATACATCCTTTTCTCTTGTTAGTCTCCCTGACTTTCTAAATTAAAACACCACCATCACTTCTGTTTCAAGCAGCCACAACACTCAGCTTCTCACAAACATTTCCAGTAAGGGTTCAAAATCCGGTTATAGCACTAGCTGTGGTTTTTCCCACACGCATCCATCTGAGCTGTCTGTCTGTCTCCCCCATTATGCATGCAGGCACCTCGGCTGCTGCAGAGCAATTTGTCCCATCCTCTGTCTTCTCTCCTTCTCGTCTCTCTTCATCTCTCTTGTTCTACTTTCTTAAATCTGTCAATTATCCCGACCGCCATTGCGTAATGTTTGACTGTCTCACCTGCAGAGATAAAAGCCGTCAAAGAGGCGATAGTTTCAAAAATGTTTGCTCGTCTGCACCACTACAGTGGTTTCAAATCTTTGGGGGGACATTTAGAAAATGCTTTTAAATTCATATGTTTGGTAGAGGGAGTCAAACGGAGGGGTCTTTTTTCAACAGGAAGGAAAACTGTTCTCCAAAAACAGTCCGTTTAAAATGAGAAATGTACAGTATTTTTGGAAGACAAGACGCACAGCTGAAGCTGCTTGTTAGAGATCATTGGGAATGAAGACGAGACAAACATGAGTCCTGATTAAAAAACCATCATGAGCTCAAGTGATCATTTCAAATCCAATCAAATTCAATCATTTTTGACAAGATGTAGCTGCTGCCTTTGATATTTTTACACAAGCTCTCTCTTACAGAAGCTAATAGTCAATTATTTGTGTGCAAATGTTCGTATCAGATGATCTGATCAGCAAGAGCATGCCGCAGACCAAAGTGGCGGCATGGGTGAAATGCATAATTAACAAATCATGTAATTTGATGTCTAAGATTAAACTTTAATGATCTAATTTTACTTTTAAAAGTTGGCATCTTACACCAAATATGGCGTAGTCAAGGCATGGGTCATCATGGTAGCTAGTGCAGTCAGCATAGTAGCAGAAACTTCACGTCTACTCTAAGAAACATAATCAAAAGTCATTTGAAGGCTATTTGTTGAACTAAGTAAAAAAAAGTGGGCGCTGCGAGTCTAGGTAAACTTGATAACATAAAAGATTACACATTATTTCTGCTAGGGCTGGGCAATATGGCCTCAAATCAATATCCAGACATATTGAGCAGTTAACCTTGATAACTACAGATACAGACTGGATGGGGTGGAGTCACATCTCTGATGTAGGAAAGCGTCTTAAAGGGACATGAGACCATAGCCTACCTACACACATCCAAAACTAACTTTTATTGATGTATTTATGTATTTATTTATTTTGACACTGTATATATATTGATATGGGCAAAGTATCGTCAGTTATTGGTACATTTTTGGTTTATCGCCCAGCCCTAATTTCCCCATACTACCCTCTCGAACTCAAACGTGTTAGGCTAACTATATCCAAGCCACAAAATGCACCGTGTCCTGCATTTCTGTGCAATTCACTCAATATTTGCATCAGATTTGAATAAAGATGAGGTGTTACCATCTCCACTCTCTGCTGCACAGAGCTTCACTGTGCACTCTCATTCTGACAGTTAAATTGTAATATGATGAGCTGAATGAGGAGGAAATGCTTCATAAAATATTATTGTGAACTAGATTTATGACAGATGTGATAAAAAAGTTCACGGTTTATATCCAGCTAGCAAAAAAAACACAATTTCAGATTGGATAAACCCCTAATTTTTTTTTCATAAATAGTAATGTCATAGTATTATTATCATTTTTGTAACATCTGTCTATCTTTGCACGGAGCAGATGGAGACAACTCTACTTCAGCTGTGCAGGGATGTAAGCGCTGAAGTTTGTGAGTTGGACCCATTTGCCATGAATTCAACTTAAGGTCATAAAAATGTATGCAAACCACATTATCCCGGTGTAATGACTGTAACTCGAAAGTGACTGACATGTTGAATTAATCCAGCGGATCTGCTCATTTCGATTCAGCTCCTCTACTAGCAGGAAAACTACAACCTTGCAAATGTTTGGAGCTTTCTTTGGAAAGGTTTTTTCTTTATTGCACACCAACAAAGGAGTAAACACACTGCTTTCAATATCTTTCTTTTCTGTTTAAAAGACATTCCTAGCTCTTATGATTCTTTACTTGCAGCTGACAGGTAAACTACTTCAGGTGATTACTCCTAAAACACTTCAATTTCACTGAATGGTTTCTATTCAACTGCAGTATTTTTCACAACTGAGCCAGCCCACACGCTCTCTCACACTTAGATGCTTTTTTGTCTTGCACCTGCTTGTCTCACTTTAGCTATTTCGAGACCTCACCGCAATATTCGTCTGGATTAAACTGAAATACCGAGCCAGAAGTAACGCTGAAAATGTATATTATAGGTGTGATATTAAAGCTATTAAAGCCTCTGATGATGAGGACTACACTGAGAGAAGGAGGGTTAGTAATGGAGGATAAAGAGAAAGTTCGGCAGCAATTCAAAACCACATAAGTCTGCAAGATTGCCTTATGAAGATGTAAAGGGAAAGGGGAGGAGGAGAGAGAATTTGGAGGAGTGGGGGCCACAGAGAAGTCGAGGGCGGCATCAAACAGCGTGAGCAGAGAGAAAGAGGCCGCTATGGTGTGGCAGTGCCCACTTAAGGCAACCTGACAGGAGAAATCATCCACACTGTCAGTCTGAAGGAGTCAGCTCAGGGAACGGGAAATGAGGGGAATGGAAAAGGTGTATGTGAGTAAATGTGTGTGTGTAAGTGGAGCTGAAGTGTGATGACTATAGGGGCCGTTCCTAAAGAGTAAAACAGGCTGAGTTTTTTTTTGTGTGTGTGTTGATTTAATAAATACCTGTTACTGCATCAAATTGTTTTTTGATTGGTTGACTAACTGGCCACTAATGACACTGATTATACTGGGGAAACCTGCTTCAATGCTGATATTTTGTGAGGGTTGTCATACGGCATTGAAATATTCTTGCAAAATCAAGACAGAGCATGTCTGTTCATCTTCTATTATACCGGGATGACCTCCCTGTGACCCTGCTAACAGTTGGTACATATGACAGCTGGTGTAGTTCAGCATTTTACAGAATAAGTCAAGAAGAACTAGAAACATGCAAGGAGTAAGATGAAAAAGACATCCACTAAATTGAAGAAAACAGACACAAATCACATTACAGTGGGCACTTCTGCAAGACTGCAGGATTGTTTAATCGAGAGGTAGATTCAGTACTTCATATCCATTACCTGTAGGGCTGGACGATAAACTGAAATTCACAGATACCAAAATTTACGACAATAACCAACGTCATTTTGCCCATGTCAATATTTTGGTGTCAAAAAATAAAGAGAGACGTGACTCCTCCCCATCCAGTCCGTAACAAAGAGGGAAAGACAGGTGAGGAGATGGAGGACGGTTCAAAAGTTGTAGCGGCTGAAGTAGACAGTAGTAGTTATCGTAGTTATCGTCCATTTATCGTTATCAAGGGGAACTGCTCAATATATCAGGATATTGATTTGAGGCCATATCACCCAGCCCTAATTACCTGTATCCTTTTTAACTGCATTATACTTATTTACAGGATTTCAGTAAATTGCATCAATCAAATATATTTTAATTAACTCCTTAATATGTTATATCTCCTCATGACACTAAAGCTCATTTGAATGGATATATAATACTTCAGAAGTGCTTTAATTCGCCTTAAAGGTGAATTTATTGCTATGCAGACATAAAAAGATGACTGACGGCTGTAGTGAAGTCCTGGGGTCAAAAACAAGTACAGGCTTTAATACCTGCTCTGCAAACAGCACTAACACTTTGCATAAACAGACGGTAAGCTGAGGATTTGACATTATTTGTTGTTGAATTTCCTCATAAGTTTAGTTGCAAATATCCACTCTGACCCGATCACATTCAAACCCAGCACAGACGAGTAAACAACAGGACTGAAGTCACATCTTTAAAATTTGGGTTCAAACAAACTCTTTAGTTCATATTTTGCAGAAATCAGAGTCACTACAAACCCAGATTGACAGCGTCCTTTTGAGGTCAATAAATGATGAAGGTTCGAGTTTCTCCGCATGATGATGAAGAGAGGAGGAGTGTCTTCTTAAATTGTCAGGAAACCAAGTTTGAATTAAAATTTCAGAGACAGGGTGTTTGTGGTTTTCATGCCCTGCTCAGATGGCCTCTGTCACCCTGTCAAATCTATTTTTATTTTTACATGCTCTATTTTAGTGCTGCTCTCTTCTTCCTCCATTTGACAGATATGTGGCAGTCTATTTTATCCAGAGTGGAGGATTCTGGGAGTGCTTTGTCTTTAGCTCCATTCAGTTCAGTTCATTTGAGCTTTATTGTCATGGCATTTTAATCAGGGACACGGTGTCAAGACAGACTGAATGTTCAAGAAGACACGTCATCACCGTAAATGAAAACAGGAAAATAAAGAAAAATTGGTGAATGTATTCCAGATTGCAGCAGCAAATTTTCAACAAATATTTTACTGCAAACTGCAAGTAAAGATGGACAAATTTGTGCACAGCCATCTGCAGCCACCAGTTTGGCCAAGAAAACAGGAACAGTTTGTTTTTGCTCCTTAATAATAAGTTTTTAAAATTTACACTGCAAGTGAATTCACCTGCCAAAAGTTTTCCAACAAACTCTGAATAGAAAGATGAAAGTTTTGGTCATTTATTCTCAATCTGCACGCTCATTATTAAATGGCGAAAATATTACCGATTTGTTCTTTGGATATGAGCGGTCGTATTTTGTGTTTGACTGATGAAATCTGGACTTTGTATTTCCATGTGCTTGACTGATGGGGAGGACTATCTCTGAAATTGCTCCAGTATCGAGGAAGAGCGGAGCAGCAATTGACAGGCTCAGATTATCATTACGAGTCCCGAGAACCTATTTGGCGACGGTTCCCTTACCTTCCATTTTGTGCCAATCTGTGTGCATCCAAACCTTGTTAGTGGAAAAGTGTCATTCTGAGATCTCGTGAGTTGCAGAAGACGACGGAGGATTTTCTAAAAACTTTGAACTGAACTTTTATGAAATTGTCTTATTGTTTAAGCTTTTGTTTTCTAATAGGAGAGATTTGAGCTAATCCAGATCATTTCTGTTTATTGTTTAGGCATATTACTCTTCTCTGACGTCTTTAAAACTGCTGCTTCACTTTTTAGGAGTGGATAACCAAGGGGAAATGATTCACAACGGCCTAAATTGGGAGAAATTCACTGCAAAGACACATGGAGAAGCTGCAAATAAAGGTGAAGACTCTTTAATGGGAGTGCTTCAGGCTTGTATGGCTTTACTATTGACAGGACAAAGAAGACACTGACTTTAGGGCCCTGTTTATACATACCCGGTATTTTTTACAAATGGGGACATTAACCATCATTTGCACCCTTCGTTAAGACGTGAACGGAGAATTCGCCCCTAAAAACTTTTAAAAAGTGGAGATTTTGGAAAATTCTGTTTGCATGTTTGCATAAAAACAGAGGTAAACAGAGATTTGGGTAGCAGATTGCAAATGCAGAACTAAGGATATCAACTGGGGATATACCAAGAATAAGTAAGTTCCACTTCTCCTAATATAACATGAAATGTGTCAGCGGTCATGTCACATGTCGGTTAACACAGTTTACTGCAGAACAACTCATTTTTCCAATGCAACAAAAGAGAAAATCGATGGAAAAATTTAATCCTCTTCTCCGTTAGCAAACCCGATTGGTCTTGACGATGAACGAAAAAGAGCGACGCACAAGCGGCAAGTGCAAAGTGTAGAGAATGACGCAATTTCCTGTTTTTATAACTTCTAATAACTTTTTAAAATGGAGCTGCAGAGAGAAAAAAAGACCTGAACACAAACCAGTCTAATAATAACTACATGTCAACATCGCAGTCGGGGGCGAGAAAAGTGTATTTTCTGTGTAATTCATTTCGAAAGGCCGCCCGCCGCTCCATTCACTTTGCTGGCAGAAGTGGGGTTTATGACTTGTACTGCAGCCAGGCTCTAGGGGGTGCTGTTCGGTGTCCATCTTATATACAGTCTATGGGTGAAACTCATGGGTAATTAACGAACAGGAACAATAGGGAACAGAAACACGAGGAAAAATACACAGAGAAATCCATCTAAATAACAAAACCAGAGAAAACTAAAACAACAAGAATCAACCACGACACTCCCATACTTCATCGTTTCATTACAGTCTATAAAAAAGGAAAAAGAAAGAGAACAGCCCGCTCTGACCTCACTTCACTTTCCAATCCCCTCGTCATTCAGACTCCTGCCCGGATGAAACCAAGTTGAAAGCCACTCCGGATGACTGACATGAGACGTTACACAAGCTAACTGTGAACACGGAGGGGCCTTTCTAAAGAGACGGCTCTAATTCAATATTAAACTAATCCATCTGGCCCACGTCACTGCATGCAGATGGCTATCGGGAGAAGGAACAACCTTGAGCCCAAAGACAGAAAAACACTGACTCCCATTACTAAGTCTCCATCTCTTCCTATTCTGAGGGTGTCTGATTGGCCCAATTTGTTTCCCCCTCCTTTTACTGGTTGATTCTTATTCCTATTCTTAAGGCTTATTCTTTTGGCTTATCAGCGGCTGTATTAATCTCCAATATTAAAAATAATTAGCATCTCCAATTTCATAGCGAGGTATCAAAGAACAATGATTAATCCCTGTACAAAAAAAAGCAGGGATAATTTCCCGCTTTTTCGCCCCGCTCTCGCCACATAATGAGGTGTCACTGCTTAAATGAATATGATATCAAACGCCTCTCCTCTGCCAGTCAAACCCCTCATGTGCGGAAGGCCTATGGAGATCAATAGCGCAGAGGGGGGGCACACAGTGTGGCGTTGGTGCGATGCAAATTGAATAGAGTTCAGTGCAGCCGCAGTATTGACTCTAGAAGGCAAATCCGCATCTTGACTTTCGGATTGAGTTATACTCTGCAGCGCGGCGCTCGTCGGCTCTGCAGGATGATTTCCTATAAAAAGCAAAAACTTCAGTCTGTGGGGGGAAAACAATCTGGGGTGAAACACAAATAGGACTTAGAAAGGTTTGATTTTTCATTCTCTCACGCTGTTTTTTTTTCCACTTCTTGTATGCGAGTCTATTTCTTCTACTCTTTCATCCCCCACCCTCTAGATCATATTCCTCCTCCTCCTCTCCTTTCCATGTCCTTTACTGTTACCTTGTTTTCATCACACTTTTTTCCCCTCGTTGTCACACCCTCCTCCTCCTCCTCTTCTTCCCAGTGTTTCCATCCCTCCCCTTGTATCTCTTCCTCGTCCTGTGTAATCAGAGCTGTGACTGAGCAGTGTTTACAGGGTCCTCCCAGGGGCCCGCCGGTGTGACACATTCACTTTACAACTACTGACCCGGCCTCACCCTCCATTCTCTCTCCTATACTCTGGTCAGATTACATAGGAAGCGTCAGAAAACATCCCAAGAAACCCCCCCTGCTGCTCTCCCCCCCCAGCATTGGCAAACAGGTAGGAGGCCGTCTTATCTTCGCACCTCAAATGCAGCTCCGGCACTCGGGGCATGTCTGCTGCACGGCGGGTCTTGGCTGGACTATCAGACTAAAACATGATCATCTAAGTCTGGCTGGGAGTGCTTGCCTGCTGTGCACAGCAAGGCGAACCATCAAAGATGCGTCTGTGTTCACTTAAAGATATTCAGCAAATCATATGGGTGCAAATTGGAGGGGTTGATAGCTCTACTAGGGAGTGTTTGCACCATTTACAAGAACCAAATATGTATTTAAACCAGGAAAGCACAGCTGTTTGGCTAAAAACGAAAAAAAGCTCCTTCATTTTTTTTCTGTCGTATCCCAGCGAGGTAGAGTTTTCTGACTTGTCTGTTTGTGTGAGCGTCAGATGAGCTGATTGGAGCTGGAGCTGACTGATTGCTCTTGAGGGAAGGTGGTAATTTCTCTGTCATATTGTGACTGATTATAGCTCTGAAATATGTCACTGCTCCGACTCCATCAGAAGTTTTTTTGACAGGAGGCTTTGATGCGCGTTCGCACGGGCAGGCAGACGCAGACAGACAGCTATCTCGCACAAACTGCATGGGAAGTAATAACCCGAGTGTGTTTGGGGGTGTTTGCTGCACATGCCTGTATGTTGTAAATTGTCTGGAAGATAAACTCGCTCCATTTTTTCTTCTTCTTCTTCTGATGAATAAAGTGTTTGAAAAGTGACAAAAACATCTTGTGTTATCACAGCCTGTCTTCTGTGAGCTGTCAGAGTGTTTTATAAAACATGTGTAGGGGGAAAACCGAAGACTGTGGACAGTTGTTCAAAAAATAAAATAACAGGCGATTGACCAAAAGCCTTTTACCTGAAAATATGACACTTGATGAGATCTATCTCTGCAAACAAAGTGCAGCAGGCCTGATTCGGAGCCTGATTGTTAAGGTGCGTTCAAGTTGCACCAGGAAGTCGGGATTTCTAAGCTCCGAGTCGGAACTTTTAACTGAAACAACCCCTGACGTCGGATTTCTGAAAGTTTCAGAAAGTCGAACAATCCACACAACTCCTGAGTTGACATGTAAAGATGGCGGCACCAGTTGTAAACAGGAAGTAGAAGCTCCTGTAAAAATCCTTTTATGTACACTTTACAATAATATTGTTAGATATATTTATATGGAAATGCCGTCATAGCGTAATTTATATTTTTCTTGTGTATATGTGAACTACAAAGGAGGCCAAGCTAACAATGGCTAACAATAGCCTGGTAGTTTCAGCCGGGGTTTTGGCTGTTGGCTACTTTTTTCCTACTTTGTAACTTACACTGCGTTCCAAGATGGACACCTACTGTTAGCCATTGTTAGCTGTTGTTAACAATTGTAAGCTGTCGTTAGCGGTTAGCAGTTGTTGTTAGTGGTTGTTAGCTAAACCAGTTGTAAACAACGCATAACACAGTATTTTACTCTTCAAACACCATAGCGCCGTGTTCACAGTTAGACATTGGGCAGTACAAGATATACCAATTATTTAGATTTACAAAAACAAAACAGAAGTGCTAATAAATAATACATTACGAGAGTTTTTACTGTTACTCTTTGCTGTTGATGCACTGCGCTGCCATCTTGAATTATGACGTTGTCGTCAAGTCGGGGTTGGTGAAGATCGTCCCACTTTCAGGGTCGGAAATCCAACTTCAGGGGGGTGTTACGGATGAATTTCTGACTTGGTACTCAGAAGTCGTAAATCCCGAGTTCTGAGTAAAACTGGAACACGGCATAAAATACTGATATCTGGGGTGTGAGGTCATTCCTAAATTCCACTTCCGACTTCTGACGTAAATTGCACGCACCATTACTCCCAATGATAGGAGGCGTGGCTTGATTGGAGGCGTGTCATAAATTATTATTCGTCCAAATGATCTTCAAGCATGAGGTAAAAATACATTTATATTATGGCTCCCATCTCACCTGGGATTATAGTTATCAAACACAATCCAGGTCAAACCCCCTTTTATTTTTAATTCTGATTTTTTCAATCTCGAAATTTCCACTTAAAAAATTTCCACTTTAATCTCCTTCCTGTAATTATTTTTTTTCTCTTGATGTGGCCCTAATTCTCTTTTGTAGGTTTCAATATTCTTTTGGGTTTGTTTTTAACAGTAAAAAAAATCCTGACAGTAGCTTTAAGTTCTGTGTTTTTAATGTGCACCTTGTTTTGACATATTATGTCTGTCTTCCTGACTGCAGGTGTGCCAAACTGATGTTAAAGTGGGAGCACTTAGTCTCCCTAAAAGACACAAACCAAGTGGCTTTTTTTCTGAGAATATTCCAGAAGAGAAACCAGCAAACCTTACACAAAAAAATGGCTCACAGAAGGTATCGGCGCCGTATTTGAGAGCACATTTACAGGGAAATTTCCCTGTCTTACAGAGGCAAAAATTAAACGCTTGAGGAGATCAAACCACCTCAATAGTTTTCTGCCTGGAGGCTGCCAGAATGGCATAACAGCAGACATTTTATGGGAGAGCACTTTATAAGCCAGCATTCCTCTGGGAACTGAACATGAAAACTGAGTCACATCCTTTGCTTGTGGGCACAATATTTAGCAAGTCATTTTTTTTCTGACGCAACGCTTTTAAATTCAGTTTACAGGAGGTGAAGCCCACATTGCAGCTGTGCTACATATAGATCAGAATCCACTGCTTTGAGAAAGAAAATGAAAATCCTTCAGACTTCAGCAGCATGTCAGTGACGGCGTCTCATAGTTTAAATGTTTTGATTTCA